AGAGCATCATTTTAATATATTTTAAATATTTAAATGTTAATTGTAATAATATTTTAATATTTAATAATAATATTTTATTGTGATTAGACTGATAAAATTGAACAAGTATATATTCAACACAATATGACCCAACATTATCATCTTATAACTTTTTTTTTGTTGGTGTGTTTCCATCTGTGCAGGGCACCAATTAAGTTCACTTTTACCATTCATCTGTCTGTACACATGAAACAACTTGGGGGATGGCTTACCAGATTTCATGGAATCTGGTACTGGGGAATTTTACTAGCATCTCAAAGTGACTGGGAAGGAAATTTCCAGACTGCCTTGGTTACTTTTGTTATGTAGTTGTAATGAAACATATGCTTGTGTATTATTGGGTCTTTGTCACTTTTATATTCTTAACTAATTTAATGTCAAATTTTCTGAATTTTCATAACATTTCATATGAATTTTTGCAGCAGATGAATCTCAGAGATGTTGCTAATGGTTTGTTAGTAAGTATTTCAGAATGTGGATTTATTTATGTAGTAGGTTAGTTTGATTAGTTAGTTTATTGGGTAATAAGTGTGTCAGTCAGTTGTTTGGTTGGTTACTAAGTTGGTTAGTTGGCATTATCGTGTATGACACACAAAGCAGATGTTGAAGGAATTATGTGTCCTTCGGAACACAGCATATTTTTAGTGTTTGATGCAAGTAGCAGCCAGTCAGCTTCATAGGTGAGAAAAAAAATATATGTTCATTCTAAATAACATGCAGTGAAGGCATGGAGGACAAATGGAATGAAAGTTCCATACGTTCTTAACCAAAGGATTTTACATTCCTATTGACTGGGTGGCCCTCTGGACTGGTCCACGTGTAGTGGCAAAAGGAACGGTCACTGGTGGTCCAGGCTGCAGTTAGTTGTTTTATTGACTGTGCTAACTTACTTCAACTCCATTGATACAATATTTTTATTTTCCGTCTATACACAAACTTAAAATAATGTTGTTTAAAATTATTTAAAATTATAACATTCTCAGTAGACACTGCATCTTGTTACATTTTTTGTATCGACGACATGTTTCAATGTGTATCACATCATCATCAGGTCTATCAATTTTAATATATTGTGTACATATACGATGTATTACGTATTAACTCTTTAAATTATTACATTTCCTATGTCAATATCCAAAATCACGACTTGAAAATTAATTTTACAGATATAAAACATCCAAGTACAACCTCCAAAATTAAAAGAAGAGATAAAAATTAAACAAATCAAAATAACCAATATACGCAACGCAAAATGTACAACAGTTTTTAAAATATATTAAAATTGATAGACCTGATGATGATGTGATACACATTGAAACATGTCGTCGATACAAAAAATGTAACAAGATGCAGTGTCTACTGAGAATGTTATAATTTTAAGTAATTTTAAACAACATTATTTTAAGTTTGTGTATAGACGGAAAATAAAAATATTGTAGCAATAAAACACAAACATGACGCAATTAAGATATAAATTCATTGATACACTACATCTTGTTTGTTTCAGAGAGATGCATTCCTTCATTTGTATAGCTACTACTGCCAAAACAGTCCTCGTTCTGAACGTCTCAGGGAGACTGTTGGAGAGAAGAATATGTTCTTCCAAGCATGCCAACTTAAACTTGGTCATAAACTTCCACTAGCAGCATACCTTCTGAAACCAGTACAGAGGATAACAAAATATCAACTTTTGCTCAAGGTAGTATAATTTGTCCCTTTTAGTACCAGCCTCCAAATTCCGTGTATGTGCAAAACAGCCATTGGGACATTCAATGCACTTTTTAAATTTCTGTTTGATTTGTATTTTTAATGTGATTATTTTTAGATTAAATGTTTGTTTCTTGCTGTCAGTGGTATAGTTTATGTTTTAGTATATTTAGCACTATTTTCTTAAATGCGTGTGTTCCATAGTGTCAGATTTCAGGATTATTATAAATGATGAAGATAACTAAGTAGGAAGGAAGTAGTTATGACCTGGTCTGTTACAATTGCCTTGAGAGACCAAAGAAAACCACAAACAGTCCAGTCAGGATAACTGACTTCCAAGCCAACTTAGGAACTTCAGCAATTATAGTCATTGTACTGTTTCTTATAAACAGCACCTCATTTGTGTAAAAAAAAGCATTAAATACATATCTCAAATGTTAGAATGTGTGATCTGCTTTGTGACAGAGTACAGTTATTATCCCAAGTATGTATTTTTGATTTTATACAGGACTTTGCCAAACACAGAGAAACCAAGTTGAAACAATTATATAAACACTTAAAAATTCTTAGGAATTATAATTATTTAAAATCAAATTTTAGAAGCAATTGCCAGTGTGTTACTTGTGTGCACTAGCAGCCTCGTTTGTTTCATTGTCAGTCACATGTTTTTTACTTGTCAATGTCAAGTCTGACTTCACTGCGAAATGATCTGACACCATGTTATTTGTGAGCCTTTTTGGTAATAATGATTTGTGAAATGTCCACTTCATTTTATACTTAAGGTTCTTTTAATATCTGAGGATTTTTTGTGTACATATTTTGTTTAGAA